TTTTGCCCCACTGTAGCGTTGTTATAATTTCCATGTTTTACTCAGTAGTACTGCAATAGGGTTATTGCAGTACTACTACAGACATTAACGTATATTATCTGCATTCAGCTGTACTCGTTCAACTTCAGATTACGTGCTCGGAGTTAAACTTTGTTTGTCAGTCAGAGTCATCTCATCAGGCGCCGCCACTGAAACCCGCTGTTCCCACGAGTAGCTGCTCCGGTCGGCTCTGCTCGGGTTTCCCAGTAACACCTGGTACCACGGGTCTTTTTAGTACCTGCTCAGGGGAGGTTTCAAGCGATCTGAAAATGTGACAGACTGCGTGCCATCGACGGGCTAATCAGCGGTGTCGCCTGATGAGTCGTGACTCATCGAAACCCAAGGGCAGCGGTTACATCGCACAACGCCGCGATCCCTGAATGCGACACAGACCGAGCAGCAAGTACACGGACGCCTCCATGTTTGTTGTAGCGTTCATGTCACGTACTAATTATGTCATGGGACGCTCCGCCCCGTTGCTATGACGGTGATCACGCATATCAGGTGGTACTCGACTGTAACGGAAAACCAGTCAGAACTAATGGAAATGGAGCTTCAGTCACCGCAACATCTCACAAAATATGGAAAAAACGAATCGATCAGCGCTGAGCGGCTTTACCAAAGAGGAGGGGTCTGACTGTGTGCTGCACCACAAACAGGAGCAACAGCCTGCGGACGCTCACCTGTGGAGCTCCCACTAACACCACACAGAATGATGAGGGAAGCTCAGGTGTCGCCCACACGAGAAAACCTCGTCACTCTAACGCCTCGACCTGTTTGAGGTTCACTCCGTGCTGGCGAACGTCGTGACGTCACGGCAGCATGGACGTATGTTCGGTTACAGCGAGCAGAAAAGCCCTCCCTCACTCTGGGTCAGTTCCCGCTCTCACAGACTTTAATTTTCTTTAAAACATCAAATCTGTGATATTGATCGTCACCGATCACGTTGTAGTCAGGAGAGTTTCTATGGCGCCTGCAGAGTTTGAACCACCGTTGACCTCACTCTAACCTCGTGTCTACGTGATGATGTCATTACCCGGATGGTGCTGAGGTCCATGGGGTGTTTGATGATGTCGTGGTAGTCGTGCAGCTCCAGCGCCTCAGCGTCCACGGGCTTGTAGAAGGGCCAGGCATAGGCGGCGTGCTTCTTCGAGAGCATCTCCTTCAGGATGGCATCGCAGTGTTTCATCTGCTCACCCAGCTTACCGCCTTTCCTCCCCCCGGGGCCGACGCCTCCGGCACCCACGTCCCCAGCCGCCAGGTCGTCCCCAGTGTCCCGCCGGGTCTTGGTGGGGCGGGCAGCGGCTTCACGGCGAGACGAAGCCAGTTTAGCCGGTTTGGCGTCCTGAGCAGACGGAGAGTCGGCGCGGCCGGCAGAGATGGCCGACGTGGTCGGAGTGGTGGTATCAGCTTTCCTCTTCACGCCTTTCTTCTGTTAGAGAGACAGACAGGTGGAGAGGGCGGGCTCAGGTTCTGTTTCAGGTCACATGACGCCATGTCGCCGCACACGCCTCTTACCTTAACCACAGGCTGGGCAGATGGCATCAAGGTCGCAGGAGGCTGAGGTGCAGACACAGGGGGCGTGGCCTGGACTGGTGTGGGCGTGGTCGAGATTACTGGCGTCTGAGAGGGAGAGGGGGAGGGATAGGAGGGGGGAGGGGAGGCTGAAGACTCTGCCTGTTGACTCACTGAAAGAGAGACAGGAAGTACTGTGAGTACTTCAGCAGTACTGCAGTATTTCCTGCACACGTTCAAGTGCAGGTGCAGGAGAGGATTCTGATCTACTGCCGCAAACACAGAACCCACACCTGAACAACAATCACCAATTTCTCTCAATAAAGGTGAGTGCAGTGTAGGACCTGGGTGGAGACCACCTCTGGTACCGCAGCGTTACCTGTATCCGTCTCACCTGTGGTGGCGGCCGGCTGTTTGCTCTTGTTCTTGCCTTTGGGAGCCGGAGGCAGCAGAGCGACTTCTTCTTGAGGCATCTGAGCGACTTTCTGCAGGAAGATCTTCTCTAAAGCCTGAGCCATGAGGACGATGTCGTCTGTGGGCTACACACACACAGAGGTTAATGCCATCACAGCTGCACACAGCTGCACTCAGCGCCCTGGCTCTGCCCCCTTTACCTTGTTGTAGATGTAACAGTTGGTGAACATGGTGTTGAAGTCCTGCATTGCCTCGCTGGCGCTCCAGTAATAATTGTTCTCCAGACGCTTCTTAATGGTTCCCATGTCCATCGGGTTTTTGATCACTTTGTGGTAATCCTGCACACAGCAGCGTGGTCAGGAAAACACTCAGCTGTGTGTGTGTGTGTGTGTGGTGAGATAGCAATGGTGACTCACGTGCAGACACAGCTTGATGGCATCCACGGGTTGGTAAAAGGGCCAGGCGAACTGATGCTTCCACAGGGTCTTCACCACCACGTTCTGCATGTACTGCAGCTGGTTGGTTTTCCTGAGACACACACACAGTCAGCACACACCATTCACCTGCCTCTAACAGCCTATCAGGAGTCTTTCTCAGTTGTGTCCTACCTGCCCGGTTTAGTGGGGTTGGTGACCTCAGGGGGGGGCGGGTTGGTGAGGGGAGGGGGGCTGGGGGGCGCAGCCTCAGGGGCGTCCGACATGGTGGACGACGGTGATGCAGCGATGCACAGTGGGACGGCAGCGTCTGACTGGAAGGTGAAAAAGGACTCCTTCTGTGGGCCGCGGCCAGGTGTGTGTGCACAGGTGTGTGTCCGTGCACGTGTTCAGTTCAGCCGCTTCAGCTCAAGTGTTCCCCGAAGAGACAAACTCCCATCGCACGACCTGAAAAACACAGAGAGAGAGGGGCGGTGATTAGGGGTTATTGATTCTGGGGAGGTAACGCTTTTAACCCCGCCCATCACACCAGTTTGAGGTCATTAACCATTTCCTGTCCAAACAGTCTGCGATCGTTGTTTAAAGTCAGCTCGCTGGTTTCCATCTAAAGCTGATGTCTCTCTAAGAACTTAATCGTACAGTGGCAACGTTTGGCTGGTCGGTGACGCCCGGCTAGCTACGGTGCCGCGGTTACACTAACACAAACAAACGAGCGCAGAGAAGCTGGAGGACGAGGGATGTTTGCCACCATACGTCTGGAGGAAGACGCTGAAAACTGAAACTTCAGCTCAGGTCGGTCATTTAGTCCTGACGCTCAGCTTCACGTCCTCACTGAGAGCGAGTCTTCTCTGAAGCGTTCTGGAGATCTTTGGAGGCGGGGCTCAGCGAGATTTTAAACTCTGGCCAATGAATGAAGTGCAACAGGTTAAATGGCAGCTGGCTGTTTGATCTCTGTGCAAACACAGCAGGGAGCTTCCAGGACCAGGCCAGCTCAGCTGCTACACACATCTGTACATAAAGCTTTAAAAACAGCTGCTTCAACATCTGGCAGCTAACGAGGTTAGTGAGTGTCATGACTACGTGTAAAAGCCCAGCCCAGAAGGCTGCGCGCTTCAGCTCTGCGAGAGGCAGTGAGGGTCACTCAGAACGAATCATCATCTACGGATCAGAAAAACCTGAGCACACAGGCGCAGCTGCAGAGCTGCAGGCTGTGGGTGGAGGCCAGACCCTAAGACCTGACTCTGACGTCAAAATCACTGCTTGGACTCGAAAAGCTACAGACTCCTCCAACCAGGATCCACAAACACCTGCTCCTCCTGTCTGAACTCATTCAAGGTACACTGAGTGGAAGCTGTGCTGCGGTTTGACCAATCAGAAGCTGAGATTCTGACTCGAGATCGTGGACACTTGGCTCTAGAGCAGAGGGAACATCCAGGTTGTTGTCATCGCTCAAGGACCGTCTCTGCTGAGACATCTGGAGCTTCATGAAGCTACAAACAGCACGGAGGCCTGAAACTCACCAAAGTTTTCCAACTCCTATAAACTGCTACTTTCTACCTGAATCCAGTTTGATTCCAACACTGAGGCGCTAATAATCCAGAGCATCAGACACACAGCTGATCCTTGTGCCTCGCGCTGATTAGAATCTGACTCTCAGGCCACAATCAGATTTATCAACAGCAGATAATCAAGGCTGCAGCGACTGTTATTAATAAACTGACAGATGATCCACCCACCAACCAATAATCTGTTTAGTAATCAGAGAACATCCAACGCTGAAAACTTCAGCCATTTGTTGCATCAACAGACCTAACGCCGCGTGGGCGGGTCCCAAGTCAAACTTTATTCAACTAATCCTCGCGTTACACGTCCAACCCTCTCTCACTGGAGTCCATTGATAAACGTGCAGTGACTCATCAGCTGTTGTTGACCTGCTGCAGGTCCAGGATTACTGCACGAGTTTTTCTCTCTGATCTGGACGTGTCCATGTGTTTTACTTCACGCTTTCTTCATTTCCTGTTTGAGTTCCTGTCACAAGAATGTACCAAAGTTTATCTTTACGATAGCTTGATTTGTGCGGTAAGACCGTCTGATGAAGGCCCGAGAGGCTGTTATCTGTTCATAGCAGCGGATGATCAGGGCTGTCAGTATATTTAAAGATCAACTGTTGATAGGTCTATAATGCATCAACTGATAACAGTTAACTGTTCTTGTTAATGTGTCGGTTTGCTTACAAACATTAGTTATTAATCTCTCATTAGCATGATTTCTTTGACCACACTGACCCCGAGTCTACAATGATCACGGCAGAAATCTGAGGGAAACTTGTGTTTATCCAATCAGAGCAGCCGTCTGATCCCACTCAGCTAAACATTAAAATAAATAACTGTTAATCAAAAGTCACTCAGTGTTTTCTGTAATCCATTACCTGATCACTTAAGTTTCTTTCTTACACACCCACAGGTGGCACGTTACAGATTATTATTTTATGTTAATGGAAATTTCTGAGACTGTCACAAATCCAAAAGGCAATAAAGTGAAAATAAAGTATGCTGTGGACATTTTTATATTTTAATCACAAATGATGGAATTAAGACAACAGATCTGTGGGTAGTCCAGCCTTCAGTCTCTACTTGGAGTCTCTGCTGATTTAAAACAACACCACGGGTCAAAATGAGAGAAAAGGCTCTGAATGTCAAACTGATGACAATTTATTCAAAAAACAAAACAAAAACAGGATGGTATTGATGTTATGCGAACTGGTGTACCCTAAGTGGGCATGTCCTGGACACACCTGGGACTGAACAGAATGATACCCGTGCTATGAGCTCCTGCACCCAACAGACGCCCTCAGGCCGTCTAAAACCGGGACCGGGATCCGGAGCGGTAAATCCGTGCAGACCCGGGGCCGCCTGTGCGCTGCTAATAGCCAAGCTAACCGCTACGAGCCACCGCTCCGCTGCACAAGGCAAACCGCACACACGACCTTACGTGGCGGCTGCACCTACACCCCGATGGCTCGTAGTGTCGGTGGATCTCTAGCCCCGGTGAAGGGGGCTGGAGCTCGGCTCTGGCCGCTCCACTTCGAGCTCCGCACAAACATCCATTTACCTGCTTTAAAAGATGGCGGGCACAGCAACAGCTAGGTGGCTAACGGAGCACAGCTCCGCGTCGAGGCCGTAACACGTCGGTAATAATACCCACGGCGGCCGAGGGGCTGACGAAATGCGTGCCGGGGTGATATATCGGCCGACGTGATCTAATTTGGCGCAATCCAGGCGCATTGGCGCGGTTACATTTTGCGATATTTGCGGACGTTACCGCTCGATGTTTGGCTAGCTAACGCAGCATTAGCCTGTTAGCTGAGCTTTGTCTGAAGGCGCCGAGCGGCCAGCCAGGCTCCGACACTCTCCGCTCTGCCCGCTCTTTCCCTCCGCTCCCGGTACCCGCTCACCCCGCTTCTCCCGCTCACACACGCTCTTTACTCCGTGTCTCGGTCCTCCGGCGATCCCGCGGCGGCTGCGACTGCTTTCTGGAAGATTTTTATTTAGCCAAGTAGCATAATAGATGAGTTATCAGCTGTCTTGTCCGTACGCAAGCGCAGTGCCGAGCAGCATCATGGATTTTGTTGTGATTGCATTGGTTGGTCCGGCAGATGACGCGATGTGATTGGCTACGGCGTGCTTGCAGGGTTTTGATTTGTTGCTAGGTGGTGTGAAGAGCTGTGATTGGTGCAGGAGGCCGTTAACATGCACTGATTGGCTGAGCCGATAACCGGGCTCTCGTGATTAGCCGGTAAAGCTGACGGGATTCGGAATGGTGCCGCGGATCGAACTACGTCTCCCAGCATGCACCGCGGCAGCGCGGAGCTGTGCTGACGCTGATCAGTTATAGATACCTAAACGAGACTTTGAAACACTGTGTCTGTAAATTGGTGGCGAACAGCCTTTTAAATAAAACGATGAAACGTCACGGTGAAAGAGCACAAGCCTTAAAACACACTCGGCACTATTCAGCAGCTTAAATACTTCAGTCTGTGCACCAAAGTACACCTGAGCGGTCACCGCGCTGTTCCTCACATCAGCACCAAACTCACCTGGAATACCTGCAGAATAATGTTCATGCCAGTCCTTCAGACACTGAACACAAGCTGGGACAAAGCTGGGACCTCCACCAAAGACCAGAGGCGATGCTGTAGAGCCGAGTCATCCTGTAATGTCCGGAATGAAGGCAGAGCTTCCTTTAGAAACTCAGTGCTCATGTGTCCACAGCAAAAAGTTAAACAAACCTCTTTGAAGGTGGAGGAGCAGCACGACCAAAGGTGTCTCATCTGCCTGAGACCAGCAACAGAGACACTGATCACTGCACTCAGTGGGACATACAGACCACGTTTCGTCAGCATGTCTACAAACATCTTTTTTATTAGGACTATTTATTATTACTCGGACTCTTGAGGTTCTCTCTGGAGCTGACAGTATTATCTAAGACAGCACCGAGGTCATTCCCACAGCAGGGGTGTGAAACAGAAGCCCGGGCCCAGAATACCCCGACAAAGATCCAGCCTGCTGGTGGCTTTGGAAAACGTAAAGGAGGACATCAAATTTGGTGATAGCAGAATCTTTTCTGTAAAGACTGAAAGTGGGCTGTTTGTGGCCCGTGATGTGAAATAAGCTCTACAGTCTGTATGTTTGGCCATCAGTATAAACATCTGGGCACGCTTCTTGATTTCAACACTCAGGGTGAGTCGTCACGATTTACTCGCATCCTTCCTCAACATGTAGGTGACTCTGTCATCTGTGAGTGTCAGAACCAATTACAAAGTAACTTGTTACTGTAATCACATTTTTTAGTAACATAAAGTTAGTAATTACATTAAAGTCCTGCTGAAGTCAGCTGATTTCAGTTTGTGTGGGAGGAGGACAATGGTGGCGTGGTAACTTTCAAGAAGTGAAGCCATAGACCTGACTTTTATTTTTATTGCAGAAAAGAACAAGCGTGATGGCACGTGGAAACAGGCTAACACACCGCTAGCCAAAAAGTCAGAGTGATGATGAAGTATGCAGACCCGAGTCCAGCAGCCAGAGCCTGGACAAAGGCAGCCAGGCTGCAGCCTGGTTCTACCTGTTTCTACAGTCGGATCACCGTGACGACCGCTTTAAAGTCTTCTCATCTTTGCTTTGTTTGTATGTAACAACTAACTTAAAGATTGTGTGTGTTTGTCCTCATTAGGATAGAGATCAGTGTGTGGGACTGTACTCTCAGGTTTATATTGTTTAGAACTATAATTATCAAATAATGAGTTTTGGGTCATTTTACTGAGTAATCAGTAATGTAATGAATATTATAACAAATTACTTTCTCGGAGCAGTAATTAAGTAATCCACTGTATTACTTCTAAGAAAAATAATGAGTAATATGTTACCTTTCTTGAGTGTGTGTGTGTTGTAATGATGTGTGTGCGAGAGAGAGCCTGAATGAATGAGCTTGTAATAGAAAGCGCCTTGGCTGCTCAGAGCAGAAGAGTGCAGTAAAAGAAGTCGTAGAGTTTGCAGAACCGACACAAAGACTGTGAATGTCTTTGCCACACACTCAGTGACCCTGTCAGGATCATATGTACTCATGCAGAGTCAATCCCAGGCGTGGCTATTTTTTATTGTGCATTATTGTTTGGAAGACTTTAGTGTTTCTATAATCTTTTGTCACATTTCCTGGTAGTACTATATAAAACGTGTTACTCTTGTCTTTCTCTGTGTTTGTTTGTTAACATTTCTTTGTAGCATTCTCGTATTTCTTTATAATATTTGTAGTGTTTTGTAGTCTTATAGTATTTTGTGCATATTTTGCATTTCTTCACCATTATGGCTTTCTTTGTGGACATTTGGCCTTTTCTAATGTCAGCCCCATTTTTTGTTTTTTTTATTTTGTTTTTTATAGTCTTTCTTTATATTTTTTCTGTATAGTTTAATCATATTTCTTTACAGTATTTTAAATGGTAAATGGCCTGTATCTGTATAGCGCTTTGCTTAGTCCCTAAGGACCCCAAAGCACCATCCATACACTGGTGATGGCAGCTACATTGTAGCCACAGCCACCCTGGGGCGCACTGACAGAGGCGAGGCTGCCGGACACTGGCGCCACCGGGCCCTCTGACCACCACCAGTAGGCAACGGGTGAAGTGTCTTGCCCAAGGACACAACGACCGAGACTGTCCAAGCCGGGGCTCGAACCGGCAACCTTCCGATTACAAGACGAACCGCTAGCTCTTCAGCCACGATCGCCCCAGCACATATTTAACATATATTTTTCGTCTTTTAGCTTTTTGTTGTTTATTAGCACGTTTTCTTCTAGGATTTGTTTTCAGTGTTTTAGCATGTCTTGTAGATTATTACTATTTTAAATAGAATAGAACAGAATAATCCTTTAACTGTCCCACAAGGGGAAATTTGGTTGTAACAGCAGCAAGAAAAACACATATACAAACAAACAAACAGCACACAGGACACAGAACAGAAACATACACAATTTTTTTTTACATATATAGCATTTTTGAATCTCCTAGTCATTTAGTATTTTGGTCATCTTTTATCTTTTTTTTTTTACATTTCTTTAGAGTATTTTAATTATTTAACTATTTTCTGTTCATTTGTAATCTTTTGGCATTTTACAGTAGTATTAATATTTCTTGTGCTTTGGTTCTTTTTTAACATTACTTTGTGGTACTTTATTGATTTTTGTAGTCTTTAACTATTTTCTGTAGTTTTCAAATACATCTGTACTATTTCAGCATGTGTTGTGTATAAACGTGTCTTTTTACTCTTCTAGCGTATTGTTTTAGCAGCTCTTTGTAGTGTTAGCATATCGGTTCCCTCTGAACTTCTGGAAACTTTGTTTGGTGCACAAATCAAACAGAAACAGCAGATCTGATTATCAAGAAGCTTTATTGTTGTTAACAGAGTGAGTATAATCATCATCGTCATCATCATCATCATCAGTCCTGTTGCTATGGGCCTGTGTGCTGGACTGCAGGAGGCTGTTAGCATGCAGCAGAGCCGAGCAGACAGACAGGTAGTCAGACAGACGGGGCAGAGAGGTAGACAGGTGGACAGGTAGTGAGGTAGGGGAACACACAGGTAGACGGACGAGAGGACAGACAGACAGACGGGTGGGGGGACAGGTAGCTATTGTGTTATTTACATACAGGTAGGCAGATGCATTAGAAAGCTTATTGGCTGTCTTCCAGAGGCTCCACCCCTCGCTCATCTGTGTCAGCCAATGCCCTGTGAGGAGGGGCGGGCTCCGCAGGCTGGGGGGAAGGGTGTGAGGAGGATGAGGAGGAAGAGGAGGAGGAGGATAGGGAGAGGGGGAGGTCTGGCGGTTGTTCAGTCTGTAGCCTCCCGTCCCCCTCTGCCTCACCTCCCATCATTCCCTCCTCCACTTGCCCCCCGCTGGCCCCTCCTCCTCCACGGGACCCAGCAAACTGCAGGTGAGGCAGGAGGGTGGCTGGGGCCTCCTTCTCCCTCTCCCCTGCTGCCTCCCTCTCGCGCCGCTCAGCATACAGCGGGGCCTCCAGGCCGAGGTAGGATGCGCTGAGCTGCCGCAGGTCCAGCTCAAAGGGGCTTCCACTGGACTGTGCCACCGACTCTGCCCCCTGACTCCCACCTCCTCCACCTGCTCCTCCTTTCTTACCCTTACGGGGGTGGGAGGTTGCAGAGGTGGGGAGGCCCTCGGGGAGGAGAGACTGGATCTTTGGGAGCCAACGTTTGCGGACTCTGCGGGCGTTGGTGCACATGTCGGCTGCAATGACGTTCATCTCGCTCTCCTTAAAGTTAGGAGCAAAGTTCTGACAGTACACTGAGGAGGAGGAGGAGGGGGGGGGAGAATCTCAATACTTTTTAAAATACAATAAAAGGCAGAAATCATGACTCACAGTGTGTGTGTGTGTGTGTGTGTGTATGAGTGTCCATGTGTTCCTGTCTAGCTATCTTTGTGAGGACCGAAATCTGCATTCTACTATACTTGTGAGAACCAACAGTCAGAGAACACAAACATCGAGGACACACACCGGTCCTCACAAATTTAAAGGCATTTTTGAAGCTCAAACTGTGGTTTTAGTTTCAGGGTTACAATTAGGTTATGGTTAGGTTTAGGGTAAGAGTTAGGGTTAGGCATTCATTTTTAATGGTTAGGGTAAGGGGCTAGGGAAACCATTATGTCAGTGAAGGTCCTCACTAAGATAGCTGAACCGGCGTGTCTGTGTGTGTGTGTGTGTGTGTGTGTGTCTTACGTTTGACAGTGTTTAACACTCGGTTGTCCAGGGGCTTCCGGCTCGGATCATTGGTGGAGGAGCGGATCCCTGTCCCGCAGCTATTGGCCAGCGTGTTTCTATGGAAACCATAACAACCCAATCAGCACCTATACCAGCTGTAGGTTCCCCTCCCCCTCCCACTCCGAGACGTGTGACTGAGCTGTTATGTAAAGCAGCTGCTGCCGACTGTCAGAAGCTTCTGGAAGATCTCATACAGCCCCGGGCCACATGGTGTCTGATGATGTCACAGCGTCTGGGTCGATAAGCGTTTTAGAGGCACATAAATATGACTGATTGATAAACGTGAGTTTCTGACCATCAGGTT